AAGTAAAATATAAATGATGACTATCAAAACACAGCTAATAACAAATTCAGCCAGAAAACTGAATTACTCTTAATATTGTTTTTGTTTTTATTCTATTTTTCAACTGAGGCTAAGAGTAGTAGCATAATCATTCATAGCAAGCTTAAAAAATCAGCAGTATTCTAGTACAATAAATTCATTCAAATTAAATTAATTTTTTATTGAGAGAATACAACCTGAGTTATTATTCCAAGAGCATCCTCAGCATTTCCTCAGGAAACAAATCAATCCTTAGTGGTCAACTGACAGGATCCTACTAGTACTCCCTCAAATACTGTAGATGGTCATGTTTGAGAAACTACTAGCACTCTATTAAACTAGGTCCTTTGGAGCTAAATAGTAAACTTAATCAGACCTCATGAGTTTTCCTTTTTTTCTTCTAACCCCTCAAGGGCATACAGAAAACTCTTAAATTCAATCTTAAATTCATAAGTGCCAAAAGGAAAAGGCATCTATTCTGTGATATCACTGGTCTGAAGACTGTTACTACAATTAGAATGTTAATACAGACATTAGATTTTACCCTACATAAATATTACTGAATCTGATTATATTCTATCAAACATATAAATATGGGCTATACTTCTTTGAAAAACCATATTTTAATGATACTCAGTATTATGTTTGCAGAACTAGAAGAACTAAAAAAATGGACTTGCTATTTCCTTCCTCCCTTCAACATAAAATAGTCTATAACAAAGATGTGATTCTACAATCACGTTTTAGTCATAATCAGTATCTAAACGTATAACAGTTATTGGTTAAGAGTGTCTCCTTAGCTGCCTACTCATAAAATATTTATAAATCATGCAATAGCTTCAGTTTTAATTCCATTGGAGAACAACAAGTAAACAAAAGTTAAAAAAGCATACCTTGCACATAGAAAAATGAATGAAACAAAAATAATAAAAGAAGATAATGTTACAGGTCAATATGCCAAGTGAAAATTTAAAAATAAACAGTATTCTAACTCAATAAGAAGCTAAAAGAACAGGAAATTTTTGTAAATTATACTCAGTACAACAATTCCTGAAGCCCATAAAAGTAAGTTATAAAAGATACAGTAATCATCAGTCTAATCCTAAAATAAAGAGAATGAAGATTTCGTTTTATTTAAACTTATGAAGACAAGATTTTAAAAAATATTTAGTAACCTTCAATAAACTACAACATGTAAGGATTCTATTAATACAAGCAGTTCTAGAATGATTTTTTACTTCATTTCATACGAGTAAAAATGATCCTAAGAATTATACTCACTTTAATCTTAAAGAAAAAATCCTGCAATATATGATCCATATCTAAATTTAGATAATATATAAGTGAAGATACTACATGTGTAAAACACATACTAAATATAATGATTCCTGAAAATAACAAATAAATGAAAATTCATAAAATAGTTTTTGTCTAAAGCTTCTTGGGCCTGTTTGATACTCATCATTTCTTAATTTCAATTAATAAGACAATTTAATAGAGTGCAGATTTAAAAATTAATTTTGGTAGGCACAGTAACCTTTTTGAACCTTTCTTAGGGAATACTGACCCCTAAAGGTTTCAAATTTTAAGTGAGTTTCTCCAATGGAAATGTAACTGGTATCCAGTTCTTACCTTTATCTATATAACCGTAACTGTGTACTTATGGCAGACATATTGATCCATAAATAATGCATAAATTATTTTGAAATGATTGTTGTATGGAGAAACCACTAGATCTTGTCTCTGCTAGTAAAAACCACCAAATTTAATATAAGAAACTTAAGATGCTATTCCAAATAGCGACACAAAAAGATTTTTGAATTCCATGCCTCTTTTCTTATATAGTTAAGTAAATAAGTACAGTCATGCTTTTATTTTCCTTTGGGGATTGGTACCAGGATTCCCCAGACACCAAAATCTTCAGATGTTTTAGTCTCGTATACAAAATAATGTAGAATTTGAATGTAATCTACTCACAATCCTTCTGATTACTTCAAATCACCTCTAGATTACCTCAGACCATATAAATGTTGCTTAACTATATTGTTTAGGAAGCACAAGCAAGAAAAAGTCTGTACATGTTCAGTACAGACACAATTTTTTCCGAATACTTTTGGAAAACAACTGGGTGAATTCTCAGACTCAGAACACAAAGTGACAGAAAGGGCAAATATAAATGGCTGAAACAACCAACCACAGGCCAAATTCTTTCTGAGGGGTGACTTTGCATAAAGATAAACTCCCTACTTATTTTATTTTATTTTATTTCTTAAAGCAGACAAAAGAGTAGAAAGATTTCACAAAACAATCTAGTGGAAAGATTGTCAAAACAATGTTCTTCTTAAGAGGTCAGGAGATAGCTGCTCATACACAACAGACATTTATTCACACCCATATTGTTTCTATCAGCTTAAACAAATTTATTCAGGGTTATTTTTAAGCTATTTAAAGAAACTTTGCAGACATCTTTACTCTTAACTACCAACTTTAGCTTTGTATTTTCCAAGATGACAATAATGACAAAGCAATGAAAAATGTAAAGGATTATATCTATCATATTATCTAATTTATCAACTCTTAGCTAAAATATTTTCAGCACTGTTTCTACATAAAGCCTGGAAAAGAATGATTGTTTCAGTACTCTCTATAAAGAAATTTAAGGGAATGTAAAGGCATATTTGTGTAGTACAGGTATTAATTAACTCAATATGCTAAAAATTATGAAATAATATCCAATAACTAATATAAATTATAGATTTATGTAAGATAGAATGAACTATTTTGTGCTTTAAGACAAATCCCATGAACCTTGTTATTATCAAAATGACCACGTAACAGTTTACTGTTGAAAAGCACTCAGAGATACTACATTTACATTTTACTTTGTTTCTTAGTAATGCTTAAGAGCTTGTAATAAAAAGAGTATCCTGTTTCTATTTCCAATGGGAAAAAATGCCTGAATGTATACATTTTCTTAACATGGTTTCAGTCACATTTGCTGAGCTCTGTCTCTTGCAAACTTTGTAGGCGTCTATGTCACAAAACCTGCTTCCGAATCTTCTTTTTGAAATCTTTACTGGTCATCTTACATGTACGAGAAGTATTTCCTCCACAACCCCTATCTCTTTAGGTTATTAAAAAGAATTCCCTTGTCTCCTTAAAGACCTTTTGTTTTCTAATGTGAACAATATGATTTTCACAAGGTGACTTGTCAATAGGGAATGTAAGCAATATGCACAACATTATTTGCTTACTTTTTCTTACTTTATACATAAATTAAACAGAATGCTTTTTGAGCACTTCAAAAGAAGAATGTTTATTTACTTGAATAAATCAAAATAGCTATAAAAATAGCTCCCAATTTCAGACCAATATATTATCACAAATTTGAACCTAAGTAGAGTGAACCAAATTTTAGAGTCATATAATCTATGCATTAAAACCATTAACTGTGTGTTAAAAATCTATTACCTAGCTTACTCAGATATTATATATTGTTGTTTTGTACATAATTCTATCAATTACCTGGATGTTATGGAAAACGAAATACAAACACAGAAATTGGGGGGGGGAAGTACTCAGAAAGCACAATATCTATACATGACTACAGAAGTCCCTGAAAGTAGTCTTTAACCTTCTAAAACAAGAAATATTATGATTGGATATATGGCGAAAAAAGAAAGAAAACCCAAAAAAAGGTGAGAAACTGTTTAGCATTTTTGTAAGAATCCTGTTTTAAAAATAAAACTGAGACAAAATAAAAGATACATACAAAGTTTTAAGACTCCAACTATAGACATTCAAAATAATGATGCAATTTCCAAGGATCCCACATTTTCAACACTTCACCATACAGATTTGACACCCCCCTCACCCTGCCCCATGTATACACTGTGCCCTCTCTCTCCCATTCTAGCTCCAGCTCCAGCTCTTTCTCAGGCCCCCTCTCAGTCTGTCTCTATTTGGACTGTCTTTCAAAATGTGTTTCTGTCTCTCACTGTTCTTGGTAAGGCTGTGTCCCTCAACCTATCTGTATCTTTTCTATTTCTTTCCTACTGTCTTCTATCTCTGTCTCAGAGACTCTCTTTGTTTCCATCTCCATACTTGCACGTATCTCTGCCCCTGCAGCTCTCTAACCCTCTCCCTCTGTGAATAGCTCTGGGGGACTCTCATGATGGGATATGTCTCTGAATCTGCACGTATCTGTGTGTCTCTCTCAGTCTCCTGCCCTCTGTCTCTGCCTCTTCTTTTCTCTCTCTCCCGCCATCTCCTACTCTGTCTCCACATACATATCTCGCTCTCACTCTCTGTATCTCTACTTCCATATGCTGTGCATGTCTGTGTCTCTGGCCTCCCTTACTGTCCCCATGTGTGTCTTCTGTCTCCCACTGGGAGTGTCTTTTGCCTCTTACGACTCTCTTTTCTCTGTCTGCATATGTGTATGATGTATCTCTTTCTCTCCCTCACTCTCCTTCATCTCTGATCCCCATAGCAGCTCTCCTATTCTAGGAATCTGGGTGCATTTTTCTCCTGTGTTCTTCTGTACATGTCCATGCCTCTGTGCCTTTCTCTTCCAACACCTCCTGTTCTGTACCTGCTCCTCTCTGAGTGTGCCCCCATGTCTCTCCCAGTCATTCTTTTTGTAAATTCTGTTTTCTTAGGTATACATCTGTCTCATTTTCTTTCGTTGTGCTTCTTTTCCCTCTTTCTGAAAAATTCTTTCTTTGTATCTCTGTATATGTGTGCATATCTCTTTCCCTCTGGGTATGTATCTCTGTCTTTGTGTCTCTTCTGTAATAACATGAATCTCTTTGTCTAAGTCTCCTGCATGTGTGTGTGTATGTGTGTGCTTGTGCTTGTGCGCACACACGCACATGTGCCTGTCTGCTTCTAACATATTGGTTAAAATAAATATACTTCATTCAGTACCTTGAGCTGCCATAACACCTGGGGCTTGGTATTAATACCTTAAAAGACCTTACCTTTTGACCAGTCTTCCATTTGTACTTCTGTTCTTGTTTGTTCTGGCAGTGTCCCTGGTTTTTGCTCCAAGACTAAAGCTGAAATAAAACCAACTCTAGATAAATAAACTTAAAACAATACAGCAGAACACACCTAAACCTTACCTTTATTTAACAAAGAATTTATAGGATAAATGGTTTTCTAAGACAAGCATAATAAGACAATTAACTGTATTTTCAACAGGTGAAATTAAGTTTTGTTTTGTTTTTTTTTTAGGAAAAGGTACTTTTCTTCACAGTTATAATTTCATAAATATACTTCAGATCAAACTTTTAGATATTCTTGCTCCTTTAGTTAGAAAATGTTCAGTGTACTTAATTTAAATCTTTAACTAAATTTCACATGTTTATACAAATTTTATTACCTATGCTATAGGTTTTATGCCAAAAACTTTAAAACATATTGACTTGAATTTACTATGTATATATTCACATAAACCATTTAACACCTGTAAACCTAATTTGAGATTATCATTCTAATTTTTTTTAAGAATATAAAAAGCATGATTAACTTGTGGGATTATTGTTAGTTCTGTCTTGCATTTGCTTTAATAGTAAACATGATAAGGAATAAGAAACTTGCAGGAGGGGAGGCATGGTTTTAAGGAGAATAAAAGTAGATTTACCTCACAGCTAGAACCCTGCGTTCTTTAAAAAGTCCTCAAATAAAGCTGTAGTAAGCTTCTCCTTTTCCAATTTTCTCTAAATATGTTGATCTGGAGTTAGCAATCTTTTTCTAAGTTCCTCATTTACTTTTGGATTAGCTGAAAATATAGGAAGTTATTAATATCAAAGGAATATGTTCCAGTCAATGAAGCCATTTCCCTACATATTGCCCAAAAAGGTTAATAATAATTGCAGTATTTTAATAAGAGATTCATATAGCAAGACATGTAGAAAATACAGTCTTTAATAACCTCTGGAGTATTTTAAAACATGTCTTACAGGCCTTAATGTGCTTAGTAATATACTATTTAAAACCATAATTTTATCCCTCTGCAATATACAGTCACTCTTCCTCATCATTTACCCAGCTAATGAATGCCAGCAATTAGTAAAATGTAATCCCATTGCACAATCATTTTAATGCTTTTAGCACTCAGAAAAGTAAACACCAAATTAATACTGCTCAAGCCATATCAGATCCTAGTTGGAAGCAAGCAATTATAGTTCAGCTCCTCAGGTGTAATTAAATGATTGGAATGATTTAGTTCCATAAATGCAAGTTAATTCATAAGCAAGCAACAAATATACTGGGAGTAATTACAAGAAACATTGACAGTCTAAGCAGGGCAAATTCTTTTAAGAGCCTGACATAGTAAAATGCTGCCCTCTCCTGGGCATAAAAGTGAATATCTCAAGAGTCAAAAGCAAATTCAGCAATAAAACCTTTTTAAAAGCTGCTAGAAAAAAATGGCTAACACATTAATTTGATTTTCTTTCTTCTAGCAAATCTATATGTATGTTTTATAGCATGATAATTTATAAATACACACATAATTAATGCTTCCCAGTAAAGTTCTCCGTTTGTGTCTCAAAAAACACTGGGCAAGCCCTGAACTTTTAATGAAAATGAGCAATGCTTGTGTGACACTGACAGACTGAGGTGAACCTTCCAGGACCCATATGGGCTGCCAGTCAACACCTGTGATCTTTCTGTCAGTGTTAAGGCTTAACTGGATTGTCACATAAAATAATTAGGCATGCTTTCTAAGTAGTACAATTTGCATAAAATATAACACAAAATAGTATCACTGTGACTTTGCATGTTACACTAAGATTATTCTAATATTAAAATAATGCACTGACATAACTGTCAGAAGCATATTTTAAAACATAAAGTGTTAAGTATTATACAACATAAAGTGCATGCTGGTGTAAGGCACTTCCACCTTGCTACTTTCTTAAAATAATACTCAGGATGAAAGTTTCTTGTATTACTCAGCACACTCTTAACTTTCTAACCTAAACTTCCAAAGTTTATTGTAAGTTATGATATAGTCAATAAGTCTGTGTTGAAAGCATGAATTTATAACCGTAAACCAAATTGGTAACATTGCTTTGCCCTTCCATAAAATTGAGTGCATTCTCCAATAAAATATGGTAATTAGCACAACAAATGTTTATTCCTTCAATAAATGTAAATAGTACTGAAGAAGATAATGTTTAACACTATACCAGTATCATTTGGGAATAAAATAGTGTTAAATTAATGCTCTTTTAATTTGCTATCGCATGATTTTAAAATATATTGTAAGTCATCTTCTGTGCAAACTATAAAAATAAAGCAAAATATTAAAAAGTCCTGTCACTAAGTTTAAAATGTACAGCACATTTGCTTTGCCCTTGATGTCAGAGTCTTATTTTTCAATTCATATCTTGTACACTGTAAGTTAATTGCTTTTGGAAAGTACTTATTATTCATGTAAAAATTAATGTGCCAATGTGTTTAAATCCTTTTAAATGACCATTCATGCATCTTTCTTCTTTAAGTACCAGTGAAATCTGTCAAAAGACATCAGCGCAAAATGATCTTAAAGAAAGTTCTAATAGAGATTTTTTTCTGCTAACACAAGATTTTCATATTCACTAACTTTACTTAAATTCCATTAATTTTTTAAGCTACTTTTAATAAATTCACCAAGTAAAATTTTTAGGCCCCATAGTCTGTCATTTGTGTTCCAGCTGACATTATGAATATTAATAACAGTGTTATCCTGATTAAATAGGCTTCATATGAAATCCCTGTGAATCCTATAGCTCAGACATCTCATTTTTCCAACTCTTTATGAATTTGGATTCAGACATTAAACTGGAAAAATCTTTTAAAAAACAAATTTAATGGCACATTTGCATGTTCTTCAGCAAAAATTAGGTGTTTTAATGATCCAAACAATTAAAATATATAACTATATATCGTAACAGGAGTACTTTTATGCAAAGATGCAACATATTTTATTCCTGTGGCTTTTTTAGTACAAAGGATTAATGCCAATAAAATACTAATTCTTGTCCTTATCTTAAAAAAATTAATATCAAGAACTAGTTTTCAGTAAAAGAAAAGTAACTGGATATTTTGCAATCAGATAAACTAGGCTCCTTTCTTCTCTTTTTTTGCAGTGCTGGGAATAGAACTCACGTGGTAGCACTCTACCACTGAGCTATGTCCACAGTCCTAATGGGGACTTCTTAACAAAAATGCTAACTTAACAGAAACAAAATGTAAATCAACCACTTTACTATTATTAATATACTCTAGGCTCAAAAATCAATTTTCAACTACAATTTGCTTATAAATTGCACTGAAAAAGATTACCTGTGTTTACAAAAAACAAATATAACCAAACATACATACAATATTAGCATCTGTTCAATTAAAACGTTCTCTATCACAGATGCCTAATTTCACTCCTTGAAGTTATTTTTAATTCTCAAAGTCTTATTATGTAAAAGAAAATATAAATAAATTCCACATCCCTGACTCTCGAGATACATGGAAATCTTAATATATCTGATAAAGTCTCTTACATTCACCTATAAAAATATACAGCTTAAAAATTTTTGAACATCTCTATGCTCTTAAATATGAATTGACTATTTCTGTTGTTTTTCAGGGGTGGAACTGTTTGTTCATTTGTTTTTGTATGAGACAAAACTGCTATGCAGTTCAGGCTGGCCTTGAACTCACAATGATCCTCCTGCCTCAGCCTCCTGAGTGCTGGGATTACAAGCGTGTGCCACCACACCAGGCCTTGACTCTTCCTGTTTACTCATCATTAAAACACTTCATGAAACAAAGTTTATTCTCAACTACTCTAAATTTTAATTTGCCTAAAGATTATAAATAATTCTAACATCTGCCCTTTAAAATTAAATAATTTCTGTTCATATAAAAGCATTTAAATGGGATCTTATTTCCCAATGTTACGGTACCCAAATTTTGTAAAACTTACCATAAGCAGAGGATGATGTTCTTCCTACCTTCCGTTATAAGTCACATTCTAGCAAAAGTTATTGGCTGGCTTTGGTTGATGATATTTTTAAATATTAAAATATATATTTAATTAAATTACGAATCTGTGTAAGTTGAATCCAAGAATAAAACTAAGAATCACATATAATATTATATACTGTATCCAAATATAAATAGAAAAACTCCAATTATTTCATATACAGGGGAATGCTGAGAATTTTAAAATTGGAACCATTTCATTCAATGGCCACCAGCAAATTAAGTTCCTTAGAGCCAGGTTAGTAAGAAAAGATTCAGAGAAAAAGGAAAAGAAACAAAAATGGCTTCACATCATAGCTAAGCTATCAAAATTAAAAATGCACCTCATATTTGTACCCACAGTTCCACAGCTGAAATACAAAAAATATTTGGGAGTAGGGGAAAGAGATTTACCTATGGATGTAGGTAGTGTTGTTTGGACAACTATACTATGCATTTCTGCTGGTCTATGGAAAGAAGCACTTAATGCTTAATTTTTTTTGTCTCCTTTTTTCAATTGTTTGTACTTTGTCTCTTCTTAATTTCTTACGCTATTCTTTGCTTTTTCTTTCTTCTTCCAATTTTACATGCATATATCTGGTAATACGAATAACTAGTTAGAAGACAACACTATGCATTACAACAAATACTGTGAAATTCATATTACTGTTAAGTGAAATTCTGTATAACTTGTAATTTTTTGTTTTATTTCTAATTTGTACTTTAAAAATAAAAAAATACATATTTAAATATTTTTTGTACAAAGTTATTTGTTGAAGCAGTATCACTGTACTTGAAAGAGCAACTACTTATGCACCAGTCATGGGGATTTCTTTCTCCTCTAACGCATCAAATTTATTCTTGCCTCAGCACTTTTACATTTCCCAGTCCTGATGCCTAGAACTCTCTCTAGTTCTCTTAATTGTCCTAGTCTCTTTCTAGTTCTCTTAATAGAACCTTTGCTGAAGTCACCTCTTTGAAAAGTGTACCTGGCCATCCAGTCTATATGAGAAACTCCTTTTATCACATTACCTACATTACTGTCTTCATGAAACTGACATGTTTAGCTTTTCTTTGCTTCTTATACTTCATGTCAGCCAACTTTGTGCATGGAAGTTACATTTTCTAAATCTCTGTATCCTTAGAAGAATGTATGGATAAAGTACTCAGTATATATTTGACGAACAGGTGGAGGGACAGATGACAGTTGAATGGGCAGCAATAGAGAACTGGTCAAAAAGTACAGCTCAACCATACGGCAAATCTATATTGTTTATACCACATATTCAAGGAAACATGCACCACATATGGAAGATTCTTCCAAAAACATTTGTTAAATAGCACATATTATGATCAAGACACTGTTCTAGGAATTAGATACAAAATGACATACAAATCATTTTCTTCAACAAATACATTCTTAGTCAAAAATACATGCATAAAATATGTCTGTATAAATTAAAAACAAAAATGTATGACTATATGTACCTATGTGTACAGGCTTAGTTAGGTCTACTATTGTTTTTCTACATGGTAATAGGAAACTACTCCCAGTGATTAGTCTCAGGAAAGGGCCTCGAAGGCTGGGCATAGTGGTTCATGCTGGTAATCTCAGTACTGGACCAGAGACACCAGGCAGGAGGACTGCTGTTAGTTCAAGGCCAGCCTGGACTACATAGGGGTTTTGAGGCCAAACTGATCTATATAGTGAGACAGTGCCTCATAAAAAGAAAAAACAGAAAGAGCTTTAGAATTGGGATGGGTAGACTGAGA